AGTTGGACATGACAGGTTTTTAATCCCCCTCACCGGTTTTATCGATAACATGCCGCAAATAATTATCGTGATAATTCTGGTACGGTGATACGTGTTCGACAATACCGTCCGATTCCAAATATTATTCAGAGGCGGGCAGTCGTAATGAAATCACGTAATGAAAACCTGCCCCGGCCAAATTAATATCGCGCCGTTGTATGATTTTATCAATTCCTGTCGCTGCTGGCAGCCAGACCCATTATTTCCCAAAAAGCCGTCCACTTCGATGGACAATGAATCGAGTCGCCCGGGGTGTTTAAAATAATACTATTCGCGAACGAAAATGAGGCATTTTCGAATTTGCATTCCCGATGGCCTAGGGCCATCGGTGTCCTCAACGTTCTCGGAGCAAGTACGAACCGACACTGGCTCAGTTTCTTGTACAATTGGCCCTGGTAACGAGCTGAACGCGACTGTGCGAGACGTGCTGCATAATACGCGAACTCCCGAGTTTCCTGAATTTATAAACTTGTGTACGGCGAGCGTGTGCGTGTGACGTTGACCCTGAAGCCGTGGCCAAGTCCTTGCCCTCTGGTGTTAAATTCCTCCGAGCCGCCAAAACTGCCCCTCGCTTCGTATACTAATGAAAAAGGCTAACTACATAGTTTCAAGCAGAAATTGTAAGACAGATTAATTTCAATTATCTATTTATGCAAATAGAGTAGAATTAATTAATTCTGATCTTCGGATTGAAAATGGATCGCAAACAAATTTTTCGGTTGAGACAATATCAGTTGGACATGACAGGTTTTTAATCCCCCTCACCGGTTTTATCGATAACATGCCGCAAATAATTATCGTGATAATTCTGGTACGGTGATACGTGTTCGACAATACCGTCCGATTCCAAATATTATTCAGAGGCGGGCAGTCGTAATGAAATCACGTAATGAAAACCTGCCCCGGCCAAATTAATATCGCGCCGTTGTATGATTTTATCAATTCCTGTCGCTGCTGGCAGCCAGACCCATTATTTCCCAAAAAGCCGTCCACTTCGATGGACAATGAATCGCAATTAGTCGGAGATTTTCGTACGGAAACATTACCCCGATACATTACACGCTGGTAGGTACAATGATCATAATTTCTTCCGCTCGGTTTCGGGTGGAGGCCCTCCGGGCTGAACGAAAAAGTAATCAACGCTCGATCCTGTTACGGATGCAAGAACGGGAGGGAAAAAAATAAGAGTAGAAAATTCGTTCTGGCGGTATAATCGTTTGCGATGCGAATCGATAAAATTTTCACGCGCAATGACGCGTTTCGCGGAAAACGTACGCTCGATTGCCTGACAACGGCCGAATTTGCATACGGCTGGTGCCCGTGGGCGGTTTCGACGTCCACGCGAACTTACCACAGTGGAGCTCTACTAGTTCTCGACGTTGCACACGCGCTGAGGACACGCGCTTGTCCCCAGAACGTGTTAAATCCCTCCGCGTCGTCGTCGTCGTCGCTGCCTCGGGCGACGCTCATCTTGGCTCACGTGCACGCAGCTGGTCACTTTTAACAGCCTGTTTCGTATGTAGTTGCAGAAAACTTTGTGCAAAACTGGTGTTCCCTTTTTGTACGAAGAGGTCCATCAGTTTATTGGTAGTCAATAGACTACAGGTTTTCCTACATCAAACCTTCGGTCTATTGACTACTAATGTGCACAAATATGGAGATTGTACATAATGTATAAAAATATACAACGTAAATATTGCAACACTTAAGGATGTATAGGCTATATACTTAAACAATGCTAGCATGTTCAATTTGTTATTATAGATTCCTATTACTATTAAAAAACTACCTGCAAAATTTTAAATCAATTCACGG